CAATTCTGAATGGTACACGACCATTTGTTTGCCAGAAGTCATCGGAGAAATTCGAAAAAAGCAGAAGAACAGGCGAATCATTCTTCATCATGACAATGCGAGCTCTCACACATCGACTCAAACAAAGGCATTTCTGACGGAGCGAAAGATCGAACTGATGGGTCATCCGCCGTACAGCCCTGATTTGGCACCCAATGACTTCTTCTTATTCCCACACATCAAAAATAAATTACGTGGACAACGATTTTCGACCCCCGAAGAAGCGGTTGATGCATTCAAAACGCATGTTTTGGAGTTACCTCAATCGGACTGGAAAAAGTGCTTTGAAAATTGGTTCAAACGCATGCAAAAGTGTATTGATCATCATGGAGAATATTTTGAAAAGCAATAAAACCAATTTCGATCCCACATATTTGTCTTTTCATTATTAGGCCAGAAATATAAATAGTAACCCTCGTATAAGGCTCTGTAATTAATTTACTTAACGTTAATTAAAATTTTAAGTAGAGAAACTTAGCTCAACTTTAATACTCCATATTGCTGATGAAGATTAGCTGGTGCGTGGATAATGGTTGTCTTCTTCTTGGAATGCAAGTACCCCAATTGCAAACTTCTACAGTTTATAATCCTAACTTTTCTTGATAAACCTTAATTTAATAAAAGAAAACATACTTCTAAGCAAGAAAAATATTGAAATTTCATGAACAAACGATATTATAAATAGGGTCTATAATGTACTTCGGGAATTGTTTTCTAATTGCTTGAAAACGATTTTTGAATTATGCCACTTATGAAACCGTTTTGGAATAAAATAGAATCTGTTCTTTTGAATTTTTTTTTTCGATTTAGAATAAAGTAAAATCTACTATACCTTGCGTTATTTCTAAATAAAGCCAAGTTCACTTTTGTGTGAATTATGAATCACGTATAAGAAATTATTTTGTGATGAATTGTGGCTTTTTATTGTTTTTGTAGTCCAACCAGTGTTAAATTTTTAAAGTTGAGAATATTCATTAGGAGAACACTATTTATAAAAATATGAATAGGTGGATATCGGGTTTCTTGCTCTTGAGTTTTGCATAAAATATGGAATTTGAACTAAAATATGCACTATTTTGTAGCACAAAAATAATTTTAAGTTATTAGGATAAGAACTACTCTTATTTGTAGCAAAATAGCACAAAATTTATTATATACACGATTAAAATGTACCTAATTATAATAATAAATAATCAAGATTTTGCGTATGTCTTAAATTTAATAAGTAATAAAAATGCAATGAATTAAAATAAATATTAATAATTTTTATTTTTAAGACCCATATTAATCTGATTTTTTTTAACTTTTAAATAAATATTAAGCTTGCGTATCATTCAAAATGATCCCCTTTCAAGGATGCAAACTATATGTTTTACTTTAAAGTAGTTTTCTCAATCGTTTAATCTATTCGCTTAAAAACGAGTTAATACTTGCGTGTATATGCCAAACATATTAATTTTTTTGCTTCCTTGCCATTAAACTTCTTTCCATTTAAGATTGAAAAATGAATGTAAACGTAACTGGAATACAAATGCAAGTATAATGTCTTGTTTAAAAAAAAATGCCCAAAGTATATGTTCGATTTAATGACTTGCTTTATGGAGAGGTTAAAAGAAGATTTTTAAAAGAAAGTCAAGGTTTGCTATGATAGATAAATAGGCATTTTTTTAAATGGAAGGCAGTTTTAGTAAGTTCAAAATAATGAAACTGTTAGGATATTGATCTTAAAATCTTGTAATATATATATTTCTTATAATTTTAGTTTGGGGAACAGGAGTATTAATAAAATCACCAAATTACATTTTTTGATGCAAAATGAAAATAGTTCTTTGGACAGATTTTGTCAAGAGAAATTAAAAGAAATTATAATAAATTATAATTACTTTTACTATTATAAATTACTATTATAAATATTGCACGCAAGGTTTTTGTTCAATTTCTGTTTTTATTAAATTTCAAACTGATTTAACTTCAAAGCATCACGTCTTTCATAATATTCTCGTTAAAAATGAGAAAAACTATAGCTTGTTACCCAAATAATTAAAAAAAAAAAATAGTGCGTGCAGTCCCTCCCGCGCGGAAGAAGTTAAACTTCGCAACCTGCGACGTTAATTGTAGAAAAATCAGCTGTCGTAGAAGGATGACTAGTTCTATTCCACGACTCTTTTACCTGTTCCACTCGCTTCCGTGCTCTGTAATCACGGTAATATAGTGCATTTTTCCCTCGTGGACCTCTTGAACCAGTGGAAGTGCTTGTGGTTGCCTCATCGTCTCGCCCTGGAAAATGTATTTGTATTAATAATGTATGTGAATGCGTCATAATTTAATTTCAGAAGAGAAACAATCAATTGATATTCACAAGAGACGTACCTTGACATAACCTTAAATCCGTCGCATTGTCCGTGGGATTGTTTTCACTCATTTTTTGCAATTGTTATCCACTAAATTTGAAAATGAAAAATACTACCCTATTAAATTATACTAGGGGGCTCCGCCCCCTGCTCGCTACGCTCGCCAACCCCCAGAACTGCTTCGCAGTTCCATTGCATATTGCTTCGCAATCTTATAAAAACATTTTAACAAATTTAAATTTTAAAATAAAAATGCCAGATATTGAAATCAATTACTTAATGAAATTTATACACTTCTCTGCCCCCTTCACAATTTGATTATCTTTTCTTCATGTAGCTGAGAAATTTGGAGCTGTAGCAGAGAATATATCTCAATAAGAAATGCTTTCCCGTTTAGAATTCCGCCATTCATTTCTCTGACGTCTGCCAGAGATATTTCGACGCCTGATAGCAGGCATTTTATTTAGGCAGCAGGCACTAAATAAATAAAAATAGAACTAAATAACTAAGATATCGTTTTAAATCTCAAATCAAAATAATTGTTTGTAGAAAGTTTGTTTTGGTTTGAATATTCGCACGTTTGTTTTGGTTTGAATATTCGCACGATGCCATTGCCATTCTATTGTAACGAAACAAAAAATTTATCATGAAACTAAAAATTTATCAAAGGAACTAAAGATATTGAATTCTTTTTTTAAGAAATTCAGTTCCGTTTTTTTTTTTCACTCTTATTTTTGTTTATCAATCTATTAATTCAGAAATGCTTTAAATCAAACGATGCTTACGGAAACAATGCTTATGCGAACCACCCGAAAAATGATTTGCTGAATTCTCATTGGTTGAAACTAAATTATTAATTTTATTAATTAATTAAAGGAAATTTTCATAATTTAAGACCTTATTGCACATCTACATAACAATACCTTTAAAACGACACCTTATTTGTTTAATTCTGTTGCGTAGTTTGGGAGTTTTTAGCGAGACAAAATATTGCTAGCCTATTAATATATAGATTTGTATCAAAACAAACTATAATAATATTTATAGGAAAACAATACTTTTATGACTTTTATTATTTTTATGCTAGTGAGAACCAAAACTATATGGAAATGAATGAGGGAAAACTGGATCCTACCACGTGATTTCCCGGCCAATAAAAATGTAGCGTTAAACGTTTAACGCAACCTTGTTGGAAGTCGCATAAGAAGTATAACTTCAAAAATACTACCCCATTAAATTATATGTGTATCAAATCAAACTAAAAAAATATTGATGGAAAAACAATATTTTTATTATTTTTTATGCTAGTGAGAACCAAAACAATATGGAAATGAATGTGGGAAAACTGGATCCTACCACGTGATTTCCCGGCCAATAAAAATGTAGCGTTAAACGTTTAACGCAACCTTGTTGGAAGTCGCATAAGAAGTATAACTTCAAAAAAACAATAGGAGACATATTCTCAATCTTTTGAGGTGTGCATAATGATCCAACGATGCTTCAAAACAGGACATAATGCACTTATGGTTGAAAGCACGATGCGAAGAAATCAATAAAGCATAAGATCTTTTTCAGATACAGCATACAATCGAGCCGGGATATGTTTATATATACACTACTGTAAAGGACCGAAATTGATTACTGTTTACATTGTCCAATGAATGTCGGTGTAGTCTCATAAGTGCTTTAGTGAAGGTCCAAAATATTTGTTAAATATTATTATTTTCCATGATAATGACATAAATGCTTTAGAGGATGTACGAAATATCTGGTAAATATTATTATTTCTTGAAACAATTACAGTAATGTTTTAGTGAATGTTCGAAATATCTATAAAAAATTATTATTTCCCATAATAATCACATAAATACTTTAGAGGATGACCGAAATATCTGTTGAATATTATTATTTATCACTTGCAGCTACAAATGGCGGCAACATGCATCTCTAATGGCCCCTGAAAGAGTTAACAAATCTGCCTTGTAAATGCCTGTATTGACGAAATGTTAGCAAAGGTGGGCATTGGAAAGAAAAATAAATATTAAAAAAAATTTGAAGAAACACTAAGAATGTGTTTTTCTTTATCTAATAACGCAAAGCAACCCAGAAGGACAAATAATAATAATAAATAAATAAATAAAAAATGGAATTATTCTAGCTGTATTAATTCCGTTGATATATGTCTTTCAGTTGTGTGCATGATTTTGTAATGTTGTTCTGTATTGAATAAATGATTATTTACTTTCCCCCCCTCCCCGTACTTAGAACGGGTATCCAGCTACGCAATAAGATCAACTTTTTTTTATCGGCAATTATATTTCGAATTCATTATTTAGATAGCAAATATTATTATATTACTCTTTCAAACTCACACGAAATTTATTCAGGATAGAGCCTGATCAATAACTTCTAAATTTCTGAAATAATATAAGAATTGAACTTTTGAGGAAGTCGCGAGTCCTTTTCCGAAAAAGTTTTTATTTGTCACTTCAACAGGTGTATCCAACTATTATGTTTAAATTTGCTTATAATTTTACACAAAAGAAGAGGAAAGTTCCAGACATTGCGTGCTGTTTAATAATACTTGAATGAATCAGATACGTTGCAGGAAGTATACACACGGCATCGAACTATTGCTATAAAAAGCATACTTTTGCATGTTTCCTTCTGTCTCGACATGAAGTGTTTCATATTTACCGTTTTATTGATCTCTGTGGTTATCCTTGTAACTGTACAAGGTCAACGTGGCGGTCCTGGTGGTAGAGGGCCTCCGGGAGGTCAAGGAGGTCCTGGTGGTAGAGGTCCTCCAGGAGGCCCTGGTGGTCGAGGAGGACCTGGGGGTCCAGGAGGCCATGGTGGTCCGGGAGGCCATGGTGGTCCGGGGGGCCATGGTGGTCCAGGGAAAATGTCAATGATCATGCTACCCATGTTTCCAGAGTGTGCACCTTATGGTAAATTAATGTACGATATGTTTAAAGGTAAGTTGTTTTAAATACGTGTTGAAATGATTTTTGTACATTTATTTGTTACTACAATTGGAACACTTGAAAAAGTTTCAGAATATAATATAAGGAATAGCTTATTACATAGCAGCAACTGTTTTTTATGTATTATGGTTGGTAGAATGCAAAATATAGATGCGGCATTATGCGGCAGCTATTGTTAATCGCTTAATGTAAAGCTAGTTAATTGTTGGTATACTGTAAAATATTGAATGAATCATAGTGTAGAAGCCGCTCTTAATCCCGTAATTTAAAACTGGTTAATTGTTTTTAGAATGTAAGATATAGAATTATCACTATGTAACGGTTGCATGTAATTTAATGATTTATGTAATGTAAAAATAGTTAATTGATGGCAGATTACAAAACGTAATATACATCACTGTGTAAAATGGTTTAGTTTGATCTATCTTAATTATTATTTTAGCAAGCTGTTTCTGACAAATTTTTTAGATATAATTTAAATTTATGCATCAAAATAAAACAACAATAGATTCGGTTTTGAAATAATATCAGATATTTTCTGAACATTATTGAGTGTTTGGCAACTATTCTGGAAATAGCAGCATTTCGGACTCACGGCGTAGCCTATTTCTAACCATTCCTGCCTGGTTCAAGTTCAATGTTATGTACAATGCGCAAAATAAAAAGGCCTGAATAACTTTTTATCTAATGAAGGTATCTTTATGTTCTAGGACTCAATCTTAATTGTTATCGGGATGACCTCAGTGTGCTAATTAATTAGTGCAGACGATATTTTAAGTCACGAAATCAGATAAAAAACGTACTTTCCCTGAATAAACATACATTTTTCACCTCCAAAATAGTTCCCGCAACCTAGGAAATATGGTCAAAATAGTTTGGTCAGGAGGCAGGTTCAATCTTATGATCCCTTAATTTTAATTTCTCTTTGCGTGCTTCGCCATATCTCGAGAAATTTTTAAGTGAATTGAAAAAATTTTGCACACAAATATAAAATTCGTTTAGTTACGGATAATTCCACGCAAAAAGTAAATTTTAGTAAGCATTTATTTTCTTTATTATTGTATTAAAAACAGTAGAAAAATTTTGAATCGCAAATTATAAAATTTTTGACAATATTTTAAAGAATGTATTTTTACATCACCAAATAGAAATTTTGAGCAAAATTAGTCGAATAGTTCCTAAGAAATAGAGTTCTAAAAATACGACTTTTTCAAAATTTCGACTTTTCAAAATACGACTAATAAACTGATTTTCAAACTTTTTCAAAACCGATTTCGCTCAAATTTTGTTTTGTCCTTTAAAATTATGTTCGTAATAATGATGTAATAAACTGCATATCTTACAGTTTAATATATTATATTTAAATAAAAAAAATTTTTGAATTCGTTTAAAAATTTCTCGAGATATTGTAAAATACGCCGAAATTAAAATGAACATCAAGGGGTCCAACTGTGCACCGCTCTCCTGGTCAAGCTATTAGAACTCTATTTCTGAGATTGCTGTTAGCCCCTATATTTCGGTGGTCGGAAATGGAATTCGTCGAAAAAAAGGTTTGTTTATTCTAAGAAATTACGTTTTTGTGTCTGATTTCGTAACTTAAAATATCGCCTGCAATAATTATTTAGCATATTTGAATTCACGCTTTTGAGGCATTAACATTAAATTGACGTGAAGATCCGTTCATTTGATCATGAGTTATTCAGGATGGTTCTTTTTTTTGTTTTGAGCTCTGTATTGGGATGTATAATGTAAAACGAGTTTTTAAACATTTCATATCTTTTTACATAAAGCTTCCTAATTCTCCCTGGACTGGGTAAACAATTAAGGTGGATGGAGCATCCTGCTAAGATTTTACCATCCTCAATAGTGATTCACCAGGCAACAATCCTTTTTTTCCTCCCAAATATTAGCTAGAGACTCCTAATATGTATGTTTCCTTGACCATTTTGACGAAAACTTTAAAGTTACATATTATTAAGAGAAAATAACAAAACATTTATATTTATTTTGATATATTTATATTACTTTAAGTAAGTCTTAAATGATATATTACATTTAAAATACAATATGGATACATCCTATAACCTTATGATATAAAGTTTATTTTATTTTTCAGAAATGCGGAATAATAACGAAATTGGACCAGAACAATGTCAGTCAGGAAATCATACAGTGAGTTATAGTTATTCAATAAACATAATTACATTAATGAAAATAATATATAGATCTGAACATTGAATTCGTTATAAGATCTGAAACACTGACAAACTTTCAAATGATTTTAGTTTTCATTTTAACGTTTACTAAAAAAACTCAGCTTTTAACCATTTTAGTTCAAGGGTTACTATTCGGTATATTTTTTGAAACCCAAGAAAATTTAAACAATTGAAAAATAATAAAAATGCTTGAAAATTTTTCGTAAATTAATGACTTACAATTTTATTTGCGGAAAAAGTACGTTGAGAAAACTACCAGAATACGGTAAAATTTACCGTGATACTTGCTCTAAGGGAATACCGAAAAGCTCAGTAATTTCTACAGAAGCGTTTTGATAATGATTTTGGTAAAATTAACAATAAAATGTGATTTCGTAATATGTGATATCATTTGGTGAATGTGGTAATTTTATCATGAGACCTCATAGCATGATAAATAAAATAATAAAGCATTTGGTTAAATTTACTTTTCAGTTTTGTATTCTATACTAACTGTGTGTTAATAAGAACTATGATTTTAAAAAACAGAATTTCTGGTTTTACTTTGTATTATTTTTGGGATAATGATCTTGTCAAGAATCCAAATCTGATTCAGAAAGTAATTTTTATGATTAATTTCGAATCGTCTTGACCAAAGCACTTAAACAATTAAAATAGATTCCTAAGTACGTGCAAATCCATACTGAGATGATAAAGTATAGTCAAAACTATCAAAATATGGTAAAATTTGACATGTTTCTGGCTCTACCTATGGGAACACATAAGAGCATGTTAATTTTTCGGAAACTCTTTGGCAATGACTTCAGGTAAGATTAACAAAAAAAAATGTATTTTTATTTATTATTCCAGTCAAGTTCCTCTGGGCTTAAATTGCACAAAACACTTTTAGTTGCCAATGAAAAAATTGAAATAAAAATATAAATTAAAAACGAAACAAGAAAACCTGCGGTAGTCTTGAGAAATAATGGAGACCAAAAGAGGTAAATCAGAGCAAGTGAGAAACTCATGCCGTTAACTAAGGAATCGACTTCCACGTTAACGAAACAAGATTCCAGAGCAGATTCGAGACATGTATAAATTTAATGTGGGTATAAAAAACTTTGGCTTTGTTTTGCACCTTTATTTTTTTCCCTCCATATTATAGTTGTTAACGTGACGTTCTTTATTTCTTATTTTTTTTTTAACCAACTCTGTTTTGTATTCTTCATTAATGTCTGGTGGGTATTGAATATGGATTCCTAGCGAGCAAATGGAAACATATGTACTGTAATAAATTCCAGATCGAATTGCGGTAAGTTATCGTCACTCTGTGTACATCAATCGTAAAATTAATTTTACCGTAAATCCATTTTTACCCCAAAATTTAGTACCATATATATTACATTAATAATTATTCAACTAGAGTGACTCAGTGATTTTGAAATAAATATTGCTGTAAAAAGTAAAAATACTTTTTTTTCTAATAGTAGAATAAAGGAACTTTTTTGCCGTGTTCCTTAAATTTTGATATTTGATTTCTGATTTTTATATTTATTTATCCATTTTTTAGATATGCATGTCTGAAGATGTGGAAAAGGTTCGCTGTGCAGTAACTGAGCCAATGCCACAAGAATGTGTGGATAAGATTATGAAGTTCGTAGAAGGAAATTCATGTAACGGAGCCGAAGTTTGAAGAGATCGAGATTTAAATTAAAAATATAACTGTTGCCACCTTTTATGATGAAACATGAAATGTCGCTGAAATAAATATATTCAATTATGAAGTTCTACATTTTTTTAATGCAATTTTTTTTCAATAACACACTTTAATTGCTTAAAACTTTAAAAAAAAATTCATTAATTTAATGTTTCTGATACAGTAGTTGAATTTCTTACTGAAAAGTTAGAATTCCGATATTAAATTTTTTTTCAATTATATTGTTTCTTTCTAAAGAAAATTTCTTCTAATTGAATTGGTTAAAATTAGGGATGGATCAGATTATAGACAGTCATTTATACAACTGAGTAGTCAAATACATTCTTATCGATTATAATGCTGATTTAAAAATAATTTTGTCTTAAAATAAAACGCCTATTTGATTTAATTCGGATACAAAACCACGATTATTTTGTTTAAAAAAATATATTTAACTTATATCTAAGGATTCAAACAGGCTTCAACTATCACAAACTAATATATTAATTATGACAAAAGAATAAATTAAGTATAACACTGAACAAAACATATTTCATTTAATTGTACCCTAATAATGTTATCAAAAGAATACGAAATGAATATTGCAAAAATTTCAGAAAATTGAGCAATTTTGTTTAAACCGAACACAGTGCTAACGTAAGCAGGTAGATTATTGGTCAGAGTACACTAGCTGTCGAGCTAACCGTGTGAAGTTTTTGTGATTTTCCTCTCCGTGTAACGCAAATACTGGTTAGTTACCATAACAAAGTCCTCCAGGAAGGCTAGCTTCTCACAGTGCTTGATCTGGGAGTTAACTTGTCGTCTCACGCGGTTAGGGGCACTTCTTTATTATGACCTGTCCAGGAGCACACGAAGAAACAGTTCATAATAGGGTTACGCCCTTAGTATGACGTATGACGACAACTCTGGGCATGTATTCTAATGAAATTTTAATTTTAACTTTACCATGGAATCAAATCTTTGCATACGATCTGAGTATGTTGCTAAAATACTACGTTATTCATTAGTTTTGATTTTTCATCCGTAATATAAAATGTGTTTGTGATTGTCTCGCTTATAACTCAGTAACTTTTTGTTCTAGTGTTCCGAAATTAGGACAGAGGTGGGAATGGAGGGAATTATAGTTCATGTTCCAAACAATTGTTCAAAAATTTTAATTGATCGTTTGGGAGAGACGTTTAAAAAATGATATTTTCCCATATCAATTAGCCTTTATAAATAAAATTGCAGACGATTTTGTTTTATCAAATATTTAAAAGATAACATCGGGAATGTTTGCTAGCTTATAGCTTTCATTCATAGTTTTTATTATTTTAAAAAATAGTTTATTATATTTTTTTTAATGTTTAGTTGTTTTTTATTCTTTATGTCTCAATTATTAACAAGAACGTGGTAGAATAAGTGGACTACCTCACGAAATGAATATTCCTCAAGTAATCTAAAACCACGTGTTTATTTATTTCTACTGTTTGAAAATTATTACTGTGAAACAAAATTATTTTGAATTAATGATGATTTAAATAAAATAAATTACGTACTGTAACGCAAAATGAGTGGAGAAATATTTTTTTTCGTTTAAAAGAAAAGAAAAAATGTGTCATACTTTTTTTGACGCCAATGATGTTAATTTGAATTTGATAATGAGTACTAGCTGAAATTAAAAAATAAGCTATAGACTAAAATGCAAAATTAATTGAGAAATCAAATTTACTCGCCTAAGAGAAAGGTAAAAAATCGTTGTGTTATTACTGACAATGATGCTTAATTAAATTTGGTGAAGGAATATTGGTATAATGATTATTGGTGCAGTTTTATTATAGATACCGTTGAAAGGAGTTTTTCATGACCGTACGAATGAGTACAGGAAAAATCCACCTGCTTGTGGTACATTTTGGTGATTGTGAGTCTTCTTCGTTCAATAGCATTTTTATTTGAACCGATCGGTCTGTAAGGGTAGTAGTACTTTGTGTGAGTGCGGGGGGGGGTCAGGGAACCGGCTTTGCATCAGAAAGATTCAGGGTTCGAATACCAGGCATGGCATGAATGTTCCTTCATTCTCTATACTATCTGTCCAGCCTGTGGGAGCAACGTTGGCCCACCTAATATGGTGCCACTGAAAGAGCTAACAAATCTGCCCTGTAAATGTGTGTATTGACGAAATGTTAACACAGGTGTACATTGGAGATAAATACAGTTATAGAAAAATTATTTTTTGTTTTTCTTTATCTAATAACGTAAAGCAACCGAGAAGGACAAATAATAATAATAAATAAATAAATAAAAATGAAATTATTCTAGCTGTATTAATTGTGTTTATTTTGTACATGATTTTGAAATGTTATTCTGTATTGAATTAATGATTATTTACTTTTTTTTCACTTCGTACTTAGAACGGGTATCCAGCTAGTAATGTAATAAGATCATCGTTTATTCATCGGCAATAATATTTCGAACTCATTATTTAGATAGCATATATTATTATGTTTCTGTTTCAAAATCACGCGAAATTTATTCAGGAGAAAATCTGATCAATAAATTCTAAATATCAGAAATAATATAAGAAATGAACTTATGAAGAAGTCGCAAGTTAAAAGTTTTTATTTCTAACCACAACACGTGTTTCCGACTATTATGTTTAGATTTGCTTACACTCTTAATCTTACTGCTTCCTGTTACATAAAAGAAGAAGAAAATTCTGGACAGCGCGTGTCTAGAATGTTACTGATAACGTGTTGTTTTGACAGCGCGTGTTGTTAATAATTTATAGATGAATCAGATACGTTGCAGGAAGTATACACATGGCATCGAACTATTGCTATAAAAAGCATACTTTTGCATGTTTCCTTCTGTCTCGACATGAAGTGTTTCATATTTACCGTTTTATTGATCACAGTGGGAATCCTTGCAACAATACAAGTTCAAGGTGCTAGTCCTGGTACTCCTGGAGCACCAGGTAGTCCAGGTTGCCCTGGTGGAGCAGGAGGGGCAGGTGGCCCAGGAGGTTCTGGTGGCCCAGGAGGCGGTGGAGGTCATGGAGGCGGTGGTGGTCGGGGAGGCGATGGTACTCCAAATGGTAGTCCTGGTTCTCCTGGCCCACCAGGCAGTCCAGGTAGTTCAGGTAGCCCTGTTGGTCCAGGAGGCGCCGGGGTCCAATAGGAGCTACTGCTCCAGGAGGCGCTGGTGGAATGATCTTGCAACCCTTGTATTCAGAGTGTGCCATTTATGGTAAATTAATGCACGATATGTTTGAAGGTATGTTATTTTAAATACGTGCTAAAATGATTTTTGTCTTGTTTAAGATTGGAGCACTTTTAAAGTTTCAGTAAATAAACTAAGAAATAGCTTATTACGTAGCAGCAACTGTTTTTTTTATGTAATATGGTTGGTAGAATGCAAAATATAGATCTCATCATTGTGTAGAATCCACCCTAAATCATGTAATGTAATACTGGTTAAGTGTTTTCAGAATGTAAAATATAGAATTATACCTATGTAACGGTTGCATTTAATGTAAGGATTTATTTAGTGTAAAATTAGTTCATTGTTGGCAGAATACAAAACGTAAAATACATCACAATGCAAAATGGCTTAGTTGTTTGATGTATTTCAAATTTCATTTTAGCTGTTTGGTTCTGACTAATTTTTTTAATAAAACTTAAATTTATGTATTAAAATAAAACAATAATAGATACGATTCTGAAATAATATCAGATATTTTATGAACATTTTTGTATGCTTCCTTCTTAAGTTTGGCAACTATTCTGGAAATGTCAAGGACAGTGTTTCGAGCTGACGGCGTAGCTTATTTCTACATATTCCAGTCTGATTCAAGTTCAATGTTATGTACAATGCGCAAAATAAAAACTGGACCACCCTGAATAACTTTTGATCTAATGAGGGTATTTTCACGTTCTGGGACTCAATGGTTAGAGGGGTGATCTAATTGGTGCAAACGATGTTTTGAGTTGCGAAATCAGGCACAAAACAGTACTTTCTCTAAAACAACATAGTTATTTTTCTTTCTCGATGAATGTGGATTTCCGACCCCCCCCCCCAAATTATAGGGGCTAGGCTGGAATATATGGCTAATTTTGTCGGGAGAGTGGTTGAAAGTTTGGGCCCCTTGCTGTTCATTTTCCTTTTTTGACTTCGCCATATCTAGAGAACGTTTTAAGAAAATTGAAAAAATTTTGCCCCTAAATATAAAATTAATTTAACCACTGATAAATCCACGCAAAAAAGTAATTTTAGTAGGCCTTTATTATTTTTAATTGTTTTATTAAATAGCAGTGGGAAAAAGTTCTTGAATTGTAAATTATGCAACTTTTGATATTATTTTAAAGAATGTATTTCTACGTGACAAATTAGAAATTTTGAGCACAATTGGTCTAATAATTCCTGAGAAATCAAATTCTAAAAATACGACTTTTTCAAGATAAGATTTACGATAAACTATTTCACCGATTTTGCTCAAATTTTGTTTTGTCCCTTAAAATTGCATTTTTTATAATGATGTAATAAACTACATATCTTACAGTTTAATATATTATATTTAAATAAGTGAATTTCATAAATTTGTGCAAAAATATTTAAATTCGCTTAACAATTTTTCGAGATATTGTGAAATATGCAAAAAGTAAAATTAACATCAAGGGGTCCAAACTTTGGACCGCTATTCTGATCAAACTGTTGGGAACCTATTTCTGGGATTACGGTAAGCCCTTATATTTTATGTGTTTGAAATCGTCGAAAAAAAGTTATTTTTACTCAGAGGAAATACGTTTTTGTGTCTAATCTCGTAACTTTAAGTATCGTTAGTTATTCTGTATATTTGAGGTCACCTCTTTGAACCATTAAGATTAAATTCTAGAATGTGAAAATTCGATCATTAGATCAAAAGTTAATCAGGATGGCTCGTTTCTGTTTTGCGCGCTGTAGTGGGGTAATGCAAAACATATGTTTAAACATTTCATGACCTGTTACATTAGGCTTCCTAATTCTCCCTGAACTGGGTAAACATTAACGCTGGATGGAGCATCTTGCTACGATTTTACCTTCCTCAATAGTGATTCACCAGGCATTAATAATGCTTTTTTTCGCTCGAATATTAGTTAAAGAGAATGTGTATGTTTGTTTGACCATTTTGACAAAAAATTTTAAGTTATATATTATTAAGAGAAAATAATAAACCATCCAATATTTATTTTTATATATTTATATAATTTTTTAGTAAGTCTTAAATGATATATTACATTTAAAATACAATAGCATGAATGCATGCTATAATCGTATGCTATAAAAGTTTATTTTATTTTTCAGAAATGCGGAACGATAACAGAATTGGTCCAGAACAATGTCAATCAGGATATCATACAGTGAGTTACAGTTATTCAATAAACATAATTACATTAATGAACGTAATAAATAAATCTAAACATTGAATTCGTTATAAAATCTGAAACACTGACAATCTTTCAAATGATTTAAGTTTTCATTTTAAAGTTCGCCATTAAAAACTCTACTTTTAACCATTTTAGTTCAAGTGTTATCATTTGGTATAATTTTTGAAGCGCAAAATTATTTGAATAATTGGAAAAGCATAAAAATGTTTGGATATTTCTCTTAAATTTGTGTCCCACAATTTTAGTTGAGGGAAATAGTACACTGAGAAAGAAAAGAGTGGTTGAAACTACCATAACACGGTAAAATTTGCCGTGTTTCTTGCTCTAAGGGAATACTAAAAAGCTCGGTAGTTTTTACCATAGCGTTTCGATAATGATTTTCTTGAAATTAACAATAAAATATTATTTCATAATAGGTGATATATAATTAGGTAAAGGATGAAAAATTAGGTAATTTTATGACGATGCCTTAGACCATGGCGAAATAATAGTAATAATAATAAAAATTGGTTAAATTTACTTTTCTCTTTTGTATTTTATACTAACTGTGTGGTAATAAGAGCTATAATTTTAAAAACCGGAAATTCCGGTAAACAGTTGTCAAATTAAAGAAAAAATAGCAGAAAAATTACCAAATGAGTGGTATAAATACCGTATATTTTGGTTTTATATACTAGAATTTAGGTTTTAATTTTCTGGAACTTTCCGTACCATAGAGTAAGGTAATTTTACCACACATTTTTTGTCTTCTTTTTTTTTGTAGTATAAATAAGGAAACCGAATTGCTTGTGTTACTGCTATACTGAAGAAATGATTTATTCTGCAAATTATCTTGCTAATGTGCAAATTAACTAGAGTGATTTCTTAAAGTCCCTAAAAATCATTTCCTTCCTTTAATTTTAAAAGTAATAAGCATGCAAGTACCTATCAGTATTTTAATAGATTTATGATGCTGCAAAATCTGAATACAAGGAAGTCATTTAATTTTTTTCATTATAAAGGAGTGAGGCAACTCTTTGTATGTATTACTTTAAATATAGCAAGAAAATAAAATAATGAAAAAAAAACAATTAAAGAAATTTTAAAAAAATAATAATATTTCAATGGGTCTGCACAAAAATAGTAATAATGAAATATTGCGTTTAACTTATAAAAATTGAGTTTATATAGCTTCGGCTAATTTTCCAAGTAATAAGTTCATTTTACGTTTATTTTCTTAAAAATTTACTAACGCAATAAGTTACTAACGCAATAAGTTATACCCAATATTTTCTTTATTACTTCTTCGTCCACACCTATAAAAAAGTTTTTGCCCTTAAAAACTTTCAAAATTAATTTATTTAGTGACAAATATCCATAAAATATAAATGTGATGCTATAATATGAATATTTAATAAAAAATTCAAAATAAACACGTGGTTTCAAAGCCACGTGCTTACTTTATATATGCAGTTTAGTATTAGAAATGCTAATTTGGTTACGTAGATCAACATATCATTCCAGTTAAATGGAAGTAATAGATAAGGGGTAGTGTGGACATTTTGAATAACTTTATTTATTTATTTATTTGTCAAATTTCTTTTGTGAGATATTATGGATTATCGCACTTTGTTTACACTTTCATGTGAATTAGCATAATCATACTGTGAATAGTTTTGTAGAAATTTGTAAATAAAGGTATTTTATTTGGTACGTTCAAGTTTTCTCTATACTATGCGTTGAAATCGGAGTTACAAATGGCGCCACCTGCATTTATTCGAGAAATTGTGTCTACATAGATAGGCCGATGTAATAAAAGCATGTAATAACAGCATTAGTTATGAATCCTCTATTCATTCTCTTAATTGTCATTTTTCTAAAAGAAATTTATCCTTCATCATCAACATATGTGAGCTCTTTCTTAAACAAACCACGCAAAACTGCTAATCAGGAAAAAATATTAATAGTATATTAGTAACATATTTGGCTTTCAGAGTTTCAACAAGATATGATATAATATGTTACAAATTATGCTGGTTTTCTTCAAAATTTTAATATTAACCTTTACTTTGACTAGTTTCAATTAATACAAATTATACATTTTGTTTTGTAAATTTTGATATTAACTTTTACTTTGACTTGGTTTCTATTAATCAACATTAAGCATAAACAAATAGATGCCTTTGTGGGGCTAGTCTAAACAAATGGTGGTTGGACTAGTATGGACGTTCCATTGGCGGAATTTGAATTTGTTAAAAATGTAACACATTTGACATTATTTATTTTCTAAATAAGAATGATTTTGTGGAGTGATATACAAAATTGTAATTCCAAATATAAACAAGAATGCAGGTAAAAGTCCAAATTATTCTTTAAAAAACACTTCATGAGTTAAAAAAAATATATTAAATATGGTATTGAGACAAGTTAGAAATATATGTCCGCATAGTATCCTCAACCCTGTATGACTAATTTTGATGACGCTGAAAATCTTGTGATTCAAAAAGCAGCTTCGTAAAAATGTCTGTCTTAATAAAAGATTTTTTATTTTGTAATTTGTTTGAAAGAAACGATAGTAAGTAAAATCATGAAATCAAAAATAATTCATTAAAACAATTTATTTCTCACCTCTCTGACAGAGCATTCTAGATCTATTACAAAACTTTCAAAATAAAACTTTTAAATTAAAACTGAAAAAAAAACTTTTTATTACTTTTTGGTTTAATGATCTTGTTAAGAATCCAAATCTGCTTAAGAAAGTAATTTTTATGACTAAATTCATACAGTCTTGACCAAAGCACTTGAACAATTAAGATCGATTCCTAAGTACGTGTAAATCCATACCGAGAAAAAAAGTATAGTCAAAACCACCAGAATATGGTAAAATTTATCATGTTTCTGGCTCTATCTATGGAAACACATAAAAGCATGTTAATTTTTCGGAAACTCTTCGGTAATGATTTCAGGTAAGATTTAACAATCAAATGTATTTTTATTTGTTTTTCCAATCAAGTTTTTCTTGACTTAAATTGTATGAAACACTTTTAGTTGCCAATGAAAAATTTGAAAATAAAATATAAGTTAAAAACGAAACAAGAAAACCTTCGGTAGCCTTGAGAAATAATGGAGGCCAAAAGAAGTAAATCAGAGCAAGTGAGAAACTTATACCGTGAACTAAGGAATCGACATCCACGTTAATGAAACAAGATCCCAGAGCAGATTAGAGACATGTATAAATTTAATGTGGGTATAAAAAACTTTGGCCTTGTTTTACACCTTTATTTCTATTTATTTTTTTTCCATATTATAGTTGACAACGTGACGTTTTTTATTTTTTATTTCTTATTCTTTTCTAACCAACTCTGTTTGTATTCTTCATTAATGTCTGGTGGGTATTGAATATGGGCTCCTTTCTGGCAAATGGAAACATATGTACTGTAATGAATTCCAGATCGAATTGCGGTAAGTTACAGTCACCCTGTGTGTTATCGTAAAATCAATTTTACCGTAAATCCATTTTTGCACCAAAATTTCTTACCATATATTTTACATTAATAATTATTCAACTATAGTGACTCAGTGATTTTGAAATAAATAATGCGGTAAAAATTACGGTATGTAATATTTTTTGTCCCGTAAAAGTTTGCGGTTAAAAGTACCGGTACTCTGGATGACGTACCTCGTACTGTAGTTTGATCCCGAATTTTTCATCGTGCAGACTTTTTCCAACGTAAAATGTTTGAAGTTACTTTTTTTTCTAATGGTAGAATAAAGGTACTTTTTTGATGTGTTCCTTAAATTTTGATTTTTATATTTATTTATTTATTTTTAAGGTATGCATGTCTGAAGATATGGAAAAAGGTTCGCTGTGCAGTAACTGAGCAAATGCCCCAAAACTGTGTGGATAAGATTATGGAATTTGTACAAGGAAATTCATGTAACGGAAACGAAGTTTGATGTGATCGAAATTTAAATTAAAAATATAACTGTTGCCACCTTTTATGAAGAAACATGAAATGTCGGTGAAATAAATATATTCAATTATAAAGTTCTACATTTTTTAATGCATTTTTTTTCAATGACACACTTTAATTGTTTAAAACTTTAAAAAAAAAATCATTAATTTAATGTTTCTGAAAAGTAGTTGAATTTCTTACTGAAAAGTTAGAATTCCGATTTTAAATTTTTTTTTAATTATATTGTTTCTTTCTGAAGAAAATTTCTTCTAATTGAATTGGTTAAAATTAGGGATGGATCAGATTATAGACAGTCATTTATACAACTGAGTAGTCAAATACATTCTTATCGCTTATAATGCTGATTTAAAAATAATTTTGTCTTAAAATAAAACGCCTATTTGATTTAATTCGGATACAAAACCACGAAGATTTTGTTTAAAAAAATATATTTAACTTATATCTAAGGATTCAAACAGGCTTCAACTATCACAAACTAATATATTAATTATGACAAAAGAATAAATTAAGTATAACACTGAACAAAACATATTTCATTTAATTGTACCCTAATAATGTTATCAAAAGAATACGAAATGAATATTGCAAAAATTTCAGAAAATTGAGCAATTTTGTTTAAACCGATCGCAGTGCTGACGTAAACTGGTAAGTGGATCATTGGTCAGAGTCCACTAGCTGTTGAGCTAACCGTGTGAAGTTTTCGCAATTTTCTTCACCATGTAACGCAAATACATTTTAGTTACCTTTACAAAGTCTTCCACGAAGGCTAGTTTCTCACAGTGCTTGATCTGGGAGTTAACTTGTCGTCACATGCGGTTAGGGGCACTTCTTTATTATGACCTGTCCAGGAGGACACGAAGGAACAGTTCATAATAGGGTTACGCCCTTAGTATGACGTATGACGACAACTCTGGGCATGGATTCTAATGAAATTTTATTTTCAACTTTACTATGGAATCATATCTTTGCATACGATCTGTGTATGTTGCTAAAATACTACGTTATTCATTAGTTTTGATTTTCCATCCGAAATATAAAATGTGTTTGTGATTGTCTCGCTTATAACTCAATAACTCCTTGTTCTAGTGTTCCGAAATTAGGACAGAGGTGGGAATGGAGGGAATTATAGTTCCTAATCCAAACAATTGTTCAAAAACTTTAATTGATCGTTTGGGAGAGACGTTTAAAAAATGATATTTTCCGATATCAATTAGCCTTTATAAATAAAATATCCTTTTTCCGTTTTTTATTCTTTTTTTAATGTTTAGTTGTTTTTTATTCTTTTTGTCTCAATTAGTAACAAGAACGGGGTAGTATAAGTGGACCTCCTCACGAAATAAATATTTCAAAAGTAATCTATAACCACGTGTTTATTTATTTCTACTGTTTGAAACTTATTACTGAGAAATAAAATTATTTTGAATTAGTGGTGATATAAACAAAATAAATTAGGTACTGAAACGCAAAATTAAAGAAGAAATATTTTTTTTCGCTTAAAAGAGAAGAAAAAATGTGTAATACTTTTTTTGACGCCAATGATGCTTATTTGATTTTGATCATGAGTACTAGCTGAAATTAAAAAATAAGCAACAGACTAAAATGCAAAATTAATTGAGAAATTAAAATTTGGTGAAGGTTTGGTGAAATTTGGTCAATGTTGGTATCATGATTATTGGTGCAGTTTTATTTTAGATACCGTTGAAAGGAGATTTTCATGACCCTACGAATAAGTACAGGATAAAACCACCTGCTTGTGGTACATTTTGGTGATTGTGAGTCTTCTTCGTTCAATAGCAATTTTATTTGAACCGATCGGTCTGTAAGGGTAGTAGTACTGTGTGTGTGCGGGGGGGGGTCAGGGAACTGGCCTTGCATCAGAAAGATTCAGGGTTCGAATACCAGGCATGGCATGCATGTTCTTTCATTCTCTATACTATCTGTCCTTCCTGAGGGTGCAACGATGGCCCACCTAATATGGTGCCACTGAAAGAGCTAACAAATCTGCCCTGTAAATGTGTGTATTGACGAAATGTTAACACAGGTGTACATTGGAGATAAATACAATTATAGAAAAATTATTTTTGATTTTCTTTATCTAATAACGTAAAGCAACCGAGAAGGACAAATAATAATAATAAATAAATAAATAAAAATGAAATTATTCTAGCTGCAATAATTGCGTTTATATATGTCTTTCAGTTCTGTACATGATTTTGAACTGTTATTCTGTATTAAATTAATGATTATTTACTTTTTTCTCTCCCCGTACTAAGAACGGGTATCTAGCTAGTAATGTAATAAGATCATCGTTTCTTCATCGGCAATAATATTTCGAACTCATTATTTAGATAGCATATATTATTATGTTACAGTTTCAAACTCACGCGAAATTAATTCAGGAGAAAACCTGATCAATAAATTCTAAATTTCTGAAATAATATAAGAAATGAACTTATGAGGAAGTCGCAAGTAAAAAGTTTTTATCTATCACTTCAACACGTGTATCCAACTATTATGTTTACATTTGCTTATAATCTTAATCTTACTGCTTCCTCTTACATAAAAGAAGAAGAAAATTCTCGACAGCGCGTGTCAAGAAGGTTACTGATCACGTGTTGTTTCGACAGCGCGTGTTGCTAATAATTTATAGATGTATCAGATACGTTGCAGGAAGTATACACACGGCATCGAGCTAGTGCTATAAAAAGCATACTTTTGCATGTTTCCTTCTGCTTCGACATGAAGTGTTTCTTATTCGCCGTTTTATTGATCACAGTGGTAATCCTTGTAACAGTACAAGGTCAAGGTGGTAGTCCTGGTTCTCCAGGAGTTCCAGGTAGTCCAGGCTGCCCTGGTGGTCCAGGAGGCGCCGGTACTGCAGGAGGCGCTGGTGGCCCAGGAGGCACTGGTGGTTCAGGAGGCACTGGTGGTGAGGGAGGAACTGGTTTTCGCTGTGATAGTGGTAGTTTAGATTGCCCTGGTGGAACAGGAGGGGCTGGTGGTCCAGGAGGCCCTGGTGGTTCAAGAGGAGGTGGTGGTTCAGGAGGCCGTGGTGGAGGAGGAGGCCATGGTTCTCCACCTGGTAGTCCTGGTACTCCTGGATCACCAGGTAGTCCAGGTGGCCCTGTTGGTCCAGGAGGCACCGAAGGTCCAGTAGGAGCTGCTGCTCCAGGAGGCGCTGGTGGATTGATCATGCTACCCTTGTATCCAGAGTGTGCCACTTATGGTAAATTAATGCACGATATGTTTAAAGGTAAGGTATTTTAAATGTGTGTTAAAATGATTTCTGCACTGTTTAAGATTTGAACACTTTTAAAGTTTCAGTAAATAAAATAAGAAATAGCTTATTACGTAGCAGCAACTGTTTTTTATGTAATATGGTAGGTAGAATGCAAAATATAGATGTCATCATTGTGCAGAAGCCACTCTCAATCATGTAATGTAAAACTGGTTAATTGTTTTCAGAATGTAAAATATAGAATTATACCTATGCAACGGTTGCATTTAATGTAACGATTTATGTAATGTAAAATTAGTTCATTGTTAATGGAATGCAAAATGTGAAATACATCACAATGTATGGTTTAGTTGTTTGATCAATCTTAATTTTTATTTGAGCTGTTTGGTTCTGACTAATTTTTTAAATATAATTTAAATTTATGTAGTAAAATAAAACAATAATAGATTAAATTCTGAAATAATGTAAGATATTTTTTGAACATTATTGTATATTTCCAACTTAAGTTTGGCAACTATTCTGGAAATGTCAAGGACAGTGTTTCGAGCTCACGGCGTAGCTTATTTCTACACATTCCAGTCTGATTCATGTACAATGCGCAAAATAAAAACTGGACCACCCTGAATAATTTTTGATCTATTGAAGGTATTTTCACGTTCTTGGACTCAATGGTAGGAGGAGTGACCTAATTAGTGCAGACGATGTTTTGAGTTACGAAATCAGGCACAAAACAGTACTTTCTCTAAGTAAATATAGTTATTTTTCTTTCTCGATGAATGTGGATTTCCGGCCCCCAAAATATAGGGGCTAGGCAGGGATATATTGTTAATTTTGTCGGGAGAGTGGTTGAAAGTTTGAACCCCTTACTGTTAATTTTCCTTTTCAGATTTAGCCATATCTCGAGATCTTTTTAAGTAAATTGAAAACACTTTGGCCACAAATATAAAATTAATTTAACCATAGATAATTCCACCCAAAAAATGAATTTCGGTAAGACTTTTCTATTTTTTATTGTTTTATTAAATAGCAATGGAAAAAAAATTGGATTGAAATTTATGCAACTTTTGACAATTAAATAAATTTAAATTATACAACTTTTATTTTAAAGAATGTATTTTTACATGACAAATTAGAAATTTTGAGCACAATTGGTCAAATAGTTCCTGAGAAATCAAATTCCAAAATTACGACATTTTCAGAATAAGATTTCTGATAAACTATTTGACCGATTTCGCTCAAATTTTGTTTTTTCCCTTAAAATTACATTCTTTTAAAATGATGTAATAAACTACTTATCTTGCAGCTTAATATATTATATTTAAGCAAACGAATTTTATAAATTTGAGCGAAAATTTTTCAATTCACTTAACAAATTTCTCGAGATATTGTGAAATACGCAAAAAGTAAAATTATCATCAAGGGGTCCAAGCTTTGGGCAGCTCTCCTGGTCAAGCTATTGGCACTATATTTCTGAGATTCCGGACAGCCCCTATTCTTGGGGGGACGGAAATCGAATTCGTCGAGAAAAAGTTATGTTTATTCAGTGAAAGTACGTTTTGGTGCCTAATTTCGTAACTTAAAACATCGTTTTTTATTCGGCATATTTGAGCTCACATCTTGAACCATTAAGAGTAAATTCTAGAACGTGAAGATTCGATCATTAGATCCAAAGTTACTTAGGGGGGCTCGTTTTTTTTGTTTTGCACTCTGTAGTGGGATAATGTAAAGCATGCGTTTATGCATTTCATGACCTGCTACAATAGGCTTCCTAATTCATTCTCTCTGGACTGGGTAAATAACTATGATGAATAGAGCATCTTGTTGCTATTTTACCTTTCA